GAAAGTGATTGTATTGGATGGGAGACAAAAGTGTATGTCCTCTATACACAGAAACTAGAACCGTGCCTGACTTCTTTTGTTTCTGCTTCTGTGGGTCAGCATCATTATCTCTCACTGCAAATTAGCCTTTGCTTCCAGGGAATGTGGTCTCTACTGTCCTAGACACACATCTTCCCTGCCCTGTCGTGCATTGATGCAGGCATTGCAGTTTGTGTTAATTAAGCCGCAGGCAGATGTTAACCACCAGTGATATTCACTGCTGTTAAGTATTAACCATATTTCAGAAAGACCCAGGGAATGACTCTGACTTGAGTCGTCTGACATGGGGTTTCATTATGGACACACCAGAATCCCTTTTGAGCCACGGGGAGCTAGAAGGGATGGAGGAGAGGCGGGGAGAAACAGTCCTGGGGTCACTGAACTATCAGACGAAATAAAGGAAGTCTGACTTTCAAGTCCCACATACCTTCAGCTCAGTGTTTCTCATCCTTTACCAACCATGGCCCGCTTCCAATCTTGCTTCCTTCCAGTGGGTCGTCTGTCCTACAAAATGAGATACCTAGTCTCATGCTGATTTTTATCTGCAATTCCCTGGGATACCCTGAGAGGGTCCACAGGGACTTCATATGGTCCATGGTTGAGAAATGCAGCTCTAGTGTTTTTTGGAGCCCGGCGAGATACTCTCGGTAGCTCGCCCGCACGGTAAAGCCTGGCAAGCTCCCCGTGACGTATTCGATATGCCAAACACAGTAACAAGGGTCACAATGGAGATGTTACTGGGCCTGCTCGAGCAAAGCGATGAATAATGGGAGGACAGTGACAGTGACAGTTTTGGGTTTTTTTTTTGGGGGGGGGGTTAGACTACACACTTGGTGGTGTTTGGGGGCTATTCTTGTCTGTGCTCAGGAGTGACACATGGCAGTGTTCAAGGGATCATGGTATTGAGAATCAAACCAGCATCGGTCACATGCAAAGCAAGAGCCTTCCTCCAGTACTATTCCTCCAACCTAAAAAAAGCTGCTCTAGACAACCAAAGCTCAAAGCCTTCATTAGCAAGTTTTGGTTTATCTCATAGGGAAGAAAACTCTGGTGATGATAAGGCTAACTTGAACTTGTGACTATGGGATAGGAAAACCAGTTAATCCTTATTGAAGGATGAAGAATACAGACTTCTCTGAGTACGTTCTTATCTGGAAGAGAATCCAAATTTTGAATTTTTTCTGCCTTTTCTTTTTTAACTTCTTTCCCAATTTTAAGGAGAAAAGTATTTTCTCCTTCCATTTTTCCATAATTTTTGTCCGTGTAGGATTTGCGGGTGTGATTAGTTTGCCCTTTAGACTTTAGACTACAGAATGGTGAGCTGGAGCAAAGTTGGAGCTGGAAGAATGAAAGCCTCAGGTGGTTCTCAGACTTGAATTCTTCCTCGCTTTCAAAAAATGAAGAAAGAAAAATAGGGGCTGGAGTGATGGCACGGCGGGTAGGGCATTTGCCTTGCACACGGCCAAACAGGGTTTGATTCCCAGCATTCCATATGGTCCCCTGAGCACGGCCAGGAGTAATTCCTGAGTGGATGAGCCAGGAGTAACCCCTAGTTACTTGTCAGGTGTGACCCAAAAAGCAAAAAATGAAAAATTTAAAAATGAAGAAAGAAAAATAAAGAGGTATTTTCAGATATGTTACGACTCAAAGATTATTAATTGCCTCACTTAGTTTTGTTTTCAAAGGGCCTGGGTTGAGGGAACATAAGGAAATTACAATCTATTGCTTGGTTCACTCATCAATTGGGGACCCTATAAAATGGCCCCAAAGGCCAAATTTGTTCCAGTCTTCTCTCTAGGGTTGCCTCCAGAGAAAAGTCTAAGAAGTCTTAACCTTTCTCACACAGCCACTGCTTTTGGCTTTTATCATTACAGTCTATAATTCTTCTGTTCTCTCATTGCAAACAGAGTTCTCAAACTCTAGCCACTTGTCCTAATGAAGCAGGAAGTGAGGGGACTCAGGCTCAGGTCTCAGATCCCTTGGAGGGGCTCACTCCCCTACAAGGAGGAAGTCTTGGGAGTAGGCCAGGAAGGGAGCCCCAGACCTGTCCGGGAACAGGTTTTTCTTTTCTTTAAACATATAGCTTTGCTCAAAGGGCTGAGAACATACTTTGCCTGGGGTAGGGGGTGGGGGATGAGGGTGCACATTCAGTCCTCAGCACCACAAGATCCTGTGATTCCACCCAGAACAGCCCTGAATTCAGAGATGGGAGTAGCCCCAGAACACTGCCTGGTATTTTTTGTTGTTTTGGGGCACACCTTGCACTGTTCAGGACTTGCTGATCCAAAAAAACAAACAAAATATATTCACCATCATTAGTCATAAGGGAAACATGTAGATTGATTACAACCATGATGAGATACACGCGTATTAGAATGAAAATATATGAATAGATTTCCTGGAACTAGAAGGATAGTACAGGGGGTAAGACACTTGCCTTGCATGCTGCCTCTTCTGTCTCCACCCTGGTTTTATTGATGGGCACCACATATGGTCTCCTGAGCACTGCCAGAAGGTTATTCCTGAGCACCACTGAGCAGCCTCTGCCCCTACCCCAAAGATATGTGTGTGACTATATATCTGTATTTAACTTCCCTGTAGCCAGAGAAATAGTACAGGGGTTAAGATGCATGTTAGGGATTAAGGCCGGAACCCAATCCCAGTTTCATTACAGCACCACAAGTTCCCTGAGCATTGCCAGGTGTAGCTTTAGAGACCCCTGAGCACACTGACTGTAGGCCTGGAGAACCCAGAGACAACCAGGCCACACAGGGACATCCTCAGCTCTAGCATTCAACTGATTTGCTCGATTGGCTAAGAATTGCTGGGCATGGCCCCTGAGACCTTCTTAGCACCACTTAGGAGGTCCCAAATACATAATTTAAAATATACATAGCTTTTCTACCTGTGATGTGGCTGAGTGGTAGTGTACAACATTTGCATATGTTAGTACTACAGACATACATATGAATGTGTATGTACACACATGTATACATACATATACACACATACAGAGAGAGAAAAGTGAGTGAGAGCCCTTGGCACTGCCAGGAACAAGCCCTGGAGTAGCTCCTGAGCACCGCTGTATGTGAACCAAAAAATCAACCACAAACAAACAACAAAAGGACAGGGTCAGAGAGATATTACAGAGACAAGTAGCACTTGCTTTGCATGCAGTTCATGGGCTTTTATCCTAGGGACCCAGTATGGTCCCTTGAGTACCTCTTTTGAGTGATCCCTGAGCATAGAACCCTGTATTAAGTCCCGAGAACTGCCAGGTTCACAAACAAACAAATAACAAATAACAAACAAACAAATAACAAATAACAAACAAAAAACAGGCTCACAAACAAACAAATAACAGCAACAAAAACGGACATTGTTCTGAACAGAAAAAAATATTTGCATACCATATAACTTACAGAGGATAAAGAATTTGCAAAACTCAGGAACAACAACAACAAAAAATACACATATCCCCAACAAAATTGGGGAGCTAGGAGTTGGAGAGATAGTGGGTAGGGCATACGGTCCTTGCATGTGACCAACCTGGATACAATCCAGGGTACCACAAATGGTTTCCTGAACCCTGCCAGGAATGATCCCTAAGCATCGAACCAGGAGTAAGTCCTGAGCACAGCCAGGTGTGGGCCAAAACCCAAGGAAGGAAGGAAGGAAGGAAAGAAGGAAGGAAGGAAGGAAGGAAGGAAGGAAGGAAGGAAGGAAGGAAGGAAGGGAGGGAGGGAGGGAGGGAAAAGAAGGAAAGGGAAAGGAAAGGAAAAGAAAAGAAGAAAAAGAAGATGCTCATTATTGCTACCAGGAAAGTTCACACAAGACGAATAATGAGATCTCAATCACATCACAGCTGTAAGAATGACACAGTGGAGCAGTATTCATTTACAAGAAAAGTTGAAATCTTGCCTTTGGCCACACCATAGATTAAACTAAGGGGGCCCAGACTTAGTGAAATAAGTCAGGACGAAGCAGTATGGGACGAACTTGCTCATAGGTGGGCTCTAAAGCAACTGAAGGGCGGACAGATCGTATAGCCATCAACCTGCATGCGGAGACCAGGGTCTGATTCCCAGCATCCCATTTGGGTCCCCTGAGCCTCTGCCAGGAGTGATCTTTTATAGTGGACTCTGGTATGGTCATAATTTATCCCTAAAACAAACATTTATGATTTTATAGATGAGTAGCTCCTGAGCACAGCTGGCGTAGCCCTAAAATCACAAAATAAATTCTTATAAAATTTTAAAAAATGGAGCACCTATCAAGAGACTTTAAACAAATAAGCACAGATCATGTATAATTTCAAATTTTGATAAATACCGTGAAAAAGGGAGTCAGTCTACTAGAGTTTGCGGCCAAGAGATTTATCTGCGGCCAGTGACAGTATAATGGGTAGGGCCCCTGCCTTGCAGGGGGCAGACTCTGGTTTACTCCCTCCCTGGCACCCCATATGGTCCCTCCCCAACCTTCCCAGACTGCCTGAGCACAGAGCCAAGTATAAGTCCTGAACACAGCCGGGGGTCGTCCAAAAGACAAAAAGAGAGATTTGCGGGGAAGAGAACTTTAGGCAGAGGGTAGAAGTCTGCAGAGGCCTAGTCCCAGCTGCAGAGCTGCAGGGGCTGAAGGTGCGGGGACCGAGAAAGGCTCTTAGAGGGTCAGGGAGGAAGCCTCGGAGAGATCGAGCAGAAGCGAGAGGAGGTGAGATTTGCAGGGGTCGAGCAGAAGCGAGGGGAGATGTTCCTCTTCCAAGTGTATCTCAGGCAGGCGAGCCGACTGCAGGGGCCCAGTGACGCAGCCGGAGCTGAAGGCTCGGAGCCGGGACCCAGCGGGTGAGGCCGACCCAGGGCTGGTGAAGCCCCGCGCGCCGCCGCCGCCGCCGCCGCCGCCGCCGCAGCCGGGCGGAAAACCGAACCGGCCCACGTGGGCCCGGCCGCCCCGCCCCGGCGCTGACGCCGCCGCCTCGGCTGCCCGGGCCTGGGACTGGGCGCGCCGCCTGCCCGCCAGCCCCGCACCCCGCTGGCGCTCGCGTGGACGCCGCGCTTGGCCCCCGACCCCAGCCCGGAGGGACGCGTTCCCGCGGTGGGACCCGCGGAGGCAGTGACAGGCCGTGAGTCCGGGCCCGGGGAGGTTCTGGACAGCAGGCGGCGGGCGTGGGGCGGGAGATTCGGAGGCAGCGGCCGCCCCGCGGCTGCAGAGGGTCTCCAGCTGGCCACAACCCGACTGATCGCCCAGCCCACCCCCTCATTCCTACGCGTCAGGGATTCACTCGCCTAAGAGTGCCTTGGTTCTTTGGGGGCCTGATCCTGGGGGGCCAAGGTCCCTGCTTTCCATCTCTGGCCTCCCCCAGTTTCCTTCATGGGCCTTCCCAAGTTTAGGAAAAAAAGGAAATATTGTATTGGGGCGGGGGAGTTGTCCAGGCTTTGGCTGAATAGAATGGGAGTCCGGGGGGTGCTGGACATGGGCTGGACATGGGCTCAGGCCGTGCCAGAGACAGCCTCTTCCTGCCGCCTCCATTCTGACAGCCCCATTTCTCCAGTCCTAGTTGGCATCTGTGGGCTGTAAACAGCTCTCAATTCAAACCCTAATTAGGGGAGATGTCAGTTACTGGGCAGGAAAGAATAGTGCGGTTGGGGGGTCCCCCCTCCTCCCGCCCAAGGGCCTAAGCATGAGGCAAGCAGGGGTCAGGAACACAAGAGCAACTGGGAGAGCAGGGTGAGGGCAGAAGACAGGCCTGTTAGTGGGGGTGCAGGGTTCTCTCTGAAGAATAGATTCCCCCCCACCCCACAGCCCCTGTTCTCCCTACCCCCAGCCACTGGGGCCCACCACCTGCTTCATGCCTGGGAACATGCTGGAGGCTAGTTTAGAGGAGTCCAAGCCTCAGGAAACCCCATAGACACTGCAGTTACAAGACAGTTAATGCATTTGAATACACAGTTACTGACCATCTCCTCTATGCCAGGGACAGAAAACCAGTGTTATGTACTGGGGACCCAAAGGAAAGTGTGTATGGAGAGAGTATCAGGAAGGTTTCAGAGAGGTGGGGATGGGAGAGCTGGATTTTGAAGTGCTAACGGGCATTTGCTGGGTGAAGAGAGCACCTGATGAGAAGGGGAAGATGCGGTGGCCATGGGAACCATGGAGACAGATTTGAGTCATCAAGGTCATCTGGGGAGAAAGGCAAGAAGGCAGGGACTGCGGGAGGCCCCTCTGCAGGGGACTGAGAAGCGGCTGTCAGGGCTGAGGGGGAGAGAACCATGAAGGATGTTTCTAGAGTCGAGGGAAAGGAACCAGAAAGAGCGGTCAGACCACTCTGGCTCCCGTGTCCCTCGGGATGTCAGAAACAGCATCCTGCTCTGCTCTGACTCATTATTCTTCCCCCCCCCCCTCTCCAGGCAGATGTTTGCCATCCAGCCAGGGCTAACCGAGGGGGGCCAGGTGCTGGGAGGCCCACCCCCAAGTCAGTCTGAGCCACAGTCAAATGACAACTTCAACTTCATGGCCCGTGCCAAGGATGCCAATGAGAATTGGCACAAGATGCAAGGCTCCGGGGAGCCCATCCTAATGAAGAGCTCGGAAGAGTTGCTCTCAGACAAGCAGGGTTTCCAAGCCCCTGAACTCCCTGAGGGGGGCATCCGCAGCCCACCCGAGGGGGCAGAGATCCCCAGAGCTGAGCCTGAGAAGATGGGTGGGGCCGGCACAGTCTGCTCCCCTCTGGAGGACAACGGCTATGCCAGCAGCTCCTTAAGCATCAACAGCCCTAGCAGCAGCCCTGAGCCTGCCTGCGGGAGCCCCCAAGGCCCGGGCTCCACAGATCCCCTCCTGCCCTCCGTGGCCCAGGCTGTGCAGCAGCTACAGGCCCAAGAGCGCTACAAAGAGCAGGAGAAAGAGAAGCACCACGTGCACTTGGTGATGTACCGTCGCCTGGCCTTGCTGCAGTGGATCCGGGCCCTGCAGCACCAGCTGGTTGACCAGCAGGCCCGTCTGCAAGAGAGCTTTGACACCATCCTGGACAACAGAAAGGAACTTATTCGCTGTCTCCAACAGAGAGCAGCACCAGCCAGGCCTCAGGACCAGAGCTAAGGGTGTGTCTCCACACAGGGGAACAGAGATCTGTGTATGTAGTTGCAGGCATGTTTGCAGATTGTGCTTAAGTAATTTGATGATTATTTGCAAATAGTGTGAGCCTGCCAGTGTTAACATGAAAGCAGGCCTGTGCAGGCATGTGTGAGTGAGCACCTCTGGATCAGCTCGTACGCGCTGTGTGTACACATCTGGAACACACAGGCTAATGTGGACAGGCCTCTGAGTGTTTGTTAATGAATGTAAAGCTTGTAAGAGTGAGTGCATTTAGGGCTGGAGAGATCGTACAGGCATTAAGGCACTTGTCTTGCATGTGGCCAACCTTGATTTAATCCCTGGCACGCATGGTCTCCTGAGCTCCTCTGGGAATAGCTTCTGCACCCCCACCCTCAGAAAAAAAAAAAAGAGCCAACACATTTATGTATGCATGTGGGAACACCTACTCAACAATGTGTGTATATGTGCAAGAGTGAGAATGTATATGCAGGAGATGTGTGTGCATGAGAGTTCTAGTGTGCAGCCTGCCTTGGTCCACGGGGGAGTGCAGCCTGCAGGCCTCTGCATGGGAGGGTGTGTGGGGGCAGGGCAAGCCTGTGAGGTAGATGAGGAGCCTGTGTAGCTGCAGGCGGGCTCCCCGAGGTGTCCAGCTGTAGACCGAGTGGCACGGAATGGAAGCACATCCATGCACACTAGAAGTACAGACTTAGCCTTGCACTCACTTTTTTTTTCTGCACCGGGGTCCCCCTGCTCCCTGGGGAAAGAAGGCAGACTGGCTGTCCTTTATCTGAGGATCATGGCTGATCCATTCTCCTGGGATTTACTTCCCAGCTGCCTTCCTTATCCCTCCCCCTTATGCCTCCCATCTCTTACTCTGCTAAAGCTGTGGTCACTGTTGATGGATTTGCTCTAGGAAGTTTGGTGGCTATCCTGGCCTGCTGTGGCTATCTGGCCATGCTTTAGCCAGGGCACATGGTAGAGAATCGTCTCTCAGCTATCAGCATGGTAATGGAGACCACGGCAGGGCAATCGCAGAGAAGACCCAGGGAAATAACAATGACAGACTCTGCAATGAACAGGAGAGGGAAATCCAGAGTACCCGTCCCCAAGAGACCATACCTTTCCACATAGAGGAACTGTTGCAAACCATATTGTTTTAAGCTTCTAATGAAAAATGCACTAATATGATATTCGATGTTCAGTATATGTCAGTTAAAACATTTTAAAAGAAATATGTATGTCCAACTTGCAAGGAATGGACAAAGGTGTTCCAGAAATCCCAGGAGAGGCTCTCGCTTGCTCTCTGTGCCCCTCTTGTTGTGACTCTAGCTTTAGCAAGCGTGGATATGGAAGTAGTTTGGTTCATTGCCCTGAAGTCAGTGTCTGGACCAGAGGGAGTCTCTGTTTGGCTTTCTAGTGTCAACCGGCCTCTAGAAACTCTGAGGATGCTGGCTATACCCCCTTTTGTCACTGTGTGACCCTTGAAATGGGACTCAGCAGGCCCCAGCAGTGGCTGAGCTCCCGATTTGTGCCAGAGTTAAGGTCTGCGACAGGCTGCAAGGCTGTGGGGAGTGTGAGAATGGCAGGCACAGAACTTGCTGCCGCTGCCTCTGGCCCTTGTTCCCCCACCTGGGAATGCAGGGAGTGTTGTATCACCAGGAGCACCATCTACGATGGCTGGGAGAATGAACAGGACGGAGAGAGGGTGACACACCAGCCTGGCACTTGGTGCCTGACTGTTCTTGCATGTGGAGAATGAACCTGCCTCCGGACCAACTAGGATGAATAAACGGGAGAGAAACGCATTTCTGGAGTTGGTGTTTCTATGTTGCCTGCTGCCTCAAGGCCTCTCTCCATTCCATCTAAGCAGAACTTGGGCTGGAAACTGAGGGAAGACGGGGTGGCAGGGGACATGGGAGAAGAAACTCAGCCTGCTACAGCTGAGGGCAGAATTAGGGACAGGTCTCTCCTCAGGCACTCACAGTCCCAAGGAGAGGCCTCCCCTCTGGGTGGGCTGAACCTCATCTGGGATAGCGTTGTCCTAAGAGGCCTTTGTGCCTAGAAAGGGGTGTGTGAATCTTGTCAGGGACAGTATACTGAATGTAGCGCTTACACACCATATTTAACCTTCCCCGAACCCCCACTTCCCTGAAGGGTACTTTGACATGAGACCTTGACATGAGACACTGAGTGTGCTAACACAGGTAGGGTCTCAGTATACACACATGGCTTCAGGTATTTGTGTGTGTGTGTGAGTGTTAATGGAATCACCGCAAATTACAAAGTTATGATTGAATTTCAGGTGTTCAATGTCCCAACAACAATCCCTTCACTGATACTCACTTCACTTCATCAGTGTCCCCAGTTTCCCTCCTGCCTCCCAGCCTGTGACTCTGACAGGCATTTTTTTTTCTTTATCACTGTGATATTCACTGTGATATTGTTTCACTGTGATATTGTTACTGATAGGATGTCATACATGTCACCTCCTTTCAGCACCTAGTTGAGGTATTTGTTTATTTATTTATTTTTGTTTGTTTTTGGGTCACACCCAGCAGTGTTCAGGGCTTACTCCTGACTATGCTTAAGGATCACTCCTGATGGGGCTTGGGGGACCATATGGAGTGCCGGGTGATTGAACCCAGGTCTGCCATGTGCAAGGCAAGTGCCCTACCCACTATACTACTGCTGTGGCCCCTCAAGTATTTATTGAGGTCAGTCTAGATTGAATCTTTTGTTTCACATTAGTTTGATGTGTGAGCACTGTGACCAGGAGTATGATTCCTGGTGAGCATGTGTGTAAACTCAGCAACAAGCATATCTGTCCCTGGCAAGAGTGACATTCAGAACATGCACCAGTACCATAACTAAAAGTGTGCAACTCCCAGCAGGTACATACACAAATCCCGGAACTAGAGAAAGGGCAGTTTCCAGCAGACACTATGACCAAGCAGATGCTGCACCCAGGTGGTGTGTCCTTTTAATGGCAACAACAGCTGCAACAAAGGGAAAAGGAAGGGGATTGGATCTCAGAAAAATCTGGCATCTTCCTTCACCTTTCCCCAGCAATGTGCCTGTAGAGTCTTCCCTTCCCTCTTTTGCTGCTGTTCCAATGGCAGGGGTTGCCCATACTTATGTGGTGCTTGCCTTGGTCTCACCAGGGGTCATGTTCTTTAACTGCAGAGTTCCCGCACTCTGGGCTGTGTGCCAGAACTGACACCGTAGTGCAGAGACCTTGCTCTGTGCATGCAGGTAGCACGAGGGAGTGAACTCACTGCCTCATGTCTACAAGGCTTTTGGACTGTCTCCTGGGCCTCGTGTGTGTGTGTGTGTGTGTGTGTGTGTGTGTGTGTGTGTGTGTGTGTGTGCTTTATGCCTAAGTAAACCTGGAAACAATGCAAGGCATTAATTATTTTTGTCATTTCTCCATTGGTACTTTAACAGAAGGAAGGAATATTGAACCAGTTTTAATAAATTCCAATTAGGCCAGAGAGATAATCCAAGGGGCAGGGTGCTTGCCTTGCATGTGGCTGACCTGGGTTTGATCCTTACTCCTACCGTGTGTGGCCTCAAAACAAAAATACAAATTCCACTTCTTAGATGTTATTCTAGGAGTCTGCACTGGACACTACAGACTATAACTAAATTTGAACAACTTTAGCCACAGAGATGTCTGAGAATGAGCCATCAAGCCCTGAGAACCCGAAAGGGTGTATTTTTCAGAAGGAACCCCTTTCCTGAATGCATGAAGGTTCCCCTGAGGACAGCCAGTGGTTAAAAACTGATCATAGCAGAGGGGGGATGAAGAGATAGTATGGCAGGCAGGGCACTTGCCTTGCAAGTAGCTAAAAACCTGGCTTCAATCTCCAGCACCCATATTGTTCCCTGAGCCCTACCAGGAGTGATACCTTAGTACAGAGCCAGTTGTAAGCCCTGAGCACCACTGGGTGTGGCCCTCTCCCCCCAAAAAAAACTGATACAAGGAGGCCCAAAGAGAAAGTACAGGGATTAAGGCACTCACCTTGCATGCCACTGACCCTGGGTCAATCCCTGACATTATATTTGGTCCTCTGAACACCACCAGGAGTGACCCCTACGCACTGAGCCAGAAGAACCCCTGAGCATTGCCAAGTGCAAATAAACAAAAAAAAAACCCAAAAAATCCAAGCCCCCCATGAGGTTTATTTACAACCCAGTCCTGCCTTTATTCATTTTTATTGTTTCAGTTTGGGAGCTACATCTGACACTGGCAATGCTCACTCCTGGCCCCTTGCTCAGGGTTCATTTCCGGCAGTGCTCCTGGAACCCATGTGACACCAGAGATCAAACTGCATGGCCCTCCTGCAGGCAGCGTCTATGCTCTGGCCCATTAAGCAAGCCCTTGGACAACTAGCCTGCCCTTAACAACTCTTACCCAAATGGCTGGACAGGATTTTCATCCAAAAGACTAACAATGCACAAACCACTCAGAACCCAGCAGAGGGAAACCAGTTCTGGTCCAGTATGCTGAACACAGCCGAAACTGCTATAGCTAAAAGGGTGCTTTATTGTATTTTATTCTGGGGGTTCTTCCAACCAGTGCTCAGGGGAGGCCACATGCCACTTCTGGCAGGGCTTAAGCCCGGAGATGCTTATGCTCAGCAGTGTCAGTGGCCAGAAGGGCCATATCAGTGGTGCTCAGATCGTGTGGCACTGGGCATAGAACCTGGGGCCTCTACATGCCACGCAGAGGCTCCAGCCCTTTGAGAGATGTCCCCAAGCCCCTGGGTGGTGGTTTCATTGTGTCAAGTGTTGTTGACAGTGAGGGTTACAGAGAGTTCGTGCCCTAGGCTGGGTTTGGATAGGAAACACCCCCTCCCCCCAAGAGAATGAAGGAGCAAAAAGTCTAATTAATGGGGATTGGGTTGGGCCATATTTATGGGTTCCTAGGAGCTATTCTGACTGTACTCAGGAGAGACCCCTATACTTTAGAGACTTTTGGTGCTGAGACGTGTTGCTTAGTCAGAGGAATGAGGATGGGTTTGGAAGTGAGACCCGAAGAATAACAGGCACAGGGCACAGAAGCAGAGGCTGGAGTAGACTCAGACAAGCCTGAAGTACTGAAGCCAGGAGGGATTACAGGGCCAGGAAAGAAGGGACTGAGCCCTGGAGAAATCACTCCATCCGGGCAGAGAGTTCACAGAGCCGGATACTGAAGGGTCTGAAGTCAGGAGGCATCACTGTGGCAGGTGGCC